GACCCAATGATCACTTACCCCACGGTGTGGAGAGTGATCATTGGTTGATAATGCTGGCGCGCCCTCCCGAATGTATGGGGGATTCGGGGGATATTTCATTCTGTTGGGATATTTAATCTATGGATTAAATTCTTTCGCCTAATATTTATTTATTCCAAAGTGTAAATATTGAAAATTGAACTGCCAACCTGACAATGTCAATCTGTGTCACCCTCTATGAATGAAATCTGTTTAAAAAAAATCTGTTTGAAATCTGTTTGAAATTCATTGGATTTCTTTATTATTTCTTCACCGTAGGTCGGGAATTTTTTACAAAATATTTTATATGGGGTCCAAATAATCCCACCAGGGCTATTTTATTCACCGTGTTTCGGAGATACTGTCTCTCAAATGTCAAAACTTGAAATATCCATTATTTCAGTAATAAACACTTGTTAAATGACACCTTTTTTCACGATCGCCTGCGGCAGACCTTCTTTCGCCCATTTCAAATGTTTTCGCTATATAAAAAAACTTCATGTTCACCAACCCAATTTAATCACAACTACATTCAACTAGTGCAACTTGAAAACGTATCCTTGGAAATTTTATCAATTCAGCTTAGTTAAAACTTTTTTAATAAATTTGTCAACGTCTTTAACTTTGATATGTGATTGAAATTATTGTTGAGATTTTTACCAAACAACAAAACCGCAACAGGCTTGTTCAATATTAACAAACGATGAATATCATAATTTCAAGTGAAAGTCTATGAAAAACTTACTCCAGTTTATTCCAATAAAAATGTTTAAAATGTTTACCATTCACTTCCTGGTAATAATTGTTAGATTGTTGGGTAAACAATAATGAGTTGGCAAATCAATTTTATCGCAATTTCGAACTATTTGACAGCGCAACTCAGCTCAAAATCATAAGCTATTATGTATTAAATTGACAATCGAAAAACACCACAATCATAATTTTCCATGAAAGGAAACTGAAATTATATGAAACGACAAAATGATTAAGGCTTTTGCAGCCGAGGTTTTCAGTGTCACTATTTTCACCGTCGATTGTTGGAATTTCTTCCTGACGTTTCGCTCGCGCGAGTGGCTAGCATCTTCAGAGATTCATACATCTTGAGTTTATCTCCGATGACTGACTATTTCGACTGCTTGAAGCATATTCATGTATGAACATCTGAAGAATGCCAGCCACTCGCGCGAGCGAAACGTCAAAAGAAATTCCAAAATCAAAAATCTTCAAACCCAAATAAAAATAGTGATACTGACTATCAGACTTGTTCTTTGAGGTTAGTTAAGTACATTCGTGGTTTAGCCTAGCACCACTGTTGAAACCTACTACTACGAGGTACTACAGTTAATTGTATCAGCTATTGTTAATACGGATTTTCATAAAGAATCGGTCAGAGTGTGTGTGTAATCACATATTTTGACGAATAATTACGAATCCAAAAGAAAAATTCAATTCTTTCTCTCATTTCCAGAGTTACAGCACTTCAAAGTTCCGAAACTTCTCGGACTTCTTTTTGTACAATACAAACTATAGATTCGCAAGTATCATCCTTCACCCCTTATTTCATCTTTTTTCGACACATTTCAGTTTAATAATCAACATTTTTCCCATAAATAATGTTATACAACATTGGATTCGTTTTCTGGTGCCATCCCTACATTGTAAAATGATATTTGCAAAGAATAAAAAGTCAAAGTCTTTAATGTCACAATCAGATGTTAGAGCGGTAAATCCATCAATCAGTACATGTTTCGCACCTATGTCGGTTCATCATCAGCTAATATTTAAAATTGTACAATAAAAGAAGAACAACGTTATAATAGTTAATACAATGCAGTATAAAATACTTGGATGGAGAAGAAAATATTTTATTTTATAGCGGAGAAAAGAAAATTAACACATGTTTTTATTGTTTCGTTTTTCTTCTTTTATTGTAGAATTTTAAATATTAGCTGATGATGAACCTATATAGGTTCGAAACTTGTACTGATTGATGGTTTTACCGCTCTAACATCTGAAAGTGACATTAAATTGCAAATTTACTGCACTCCACTTCGAAATATAATGGACTTCTACCGGAGGTAAAGTGATATATCTTTGGGAAAGATTTTGACTTTCTAATGTTTCGTTTTTCTTCTTTTATTGTAGAATTTTAAATATTAGCTGATGATGAACCTATATAGGTTCGAAACTTGTACTGATTGATGGTTTTACCGTTCTAACATCTGAAAGTGACATTAAATCGCAAATTTACTGCACTCCACTTTGAAATATAATGGACTTCTACCGGAGGTAAAGTGATATATCTTTGGGAAAGATTTTGACTTTCTACTTCTCCATATTTATATACAAAAATGTAGGAATCTTCTGAAGACTCAATGTTCATATAAGGATACAATTGTCGGGGCCAGTTATCTTGGGCCAATTGCGTGAAAGTCTGAGACCAGTCCAACTGAATGAGAACTTGTTCACATGGCTAAACTATTCCCACAGTAGTTTGTGACGGAAAATGGCGGAGTCCTAATCGTCTGTTGTGTCTAGTAATGAATTGAGACTCGACTGAAAAAGGCAAACTGGTCAAAAATGAGATATCTACTGCCCTACACACGGCACCAATTGTCAACACAATTGTCGTGATAGAGTGTGGGGGGCGTCACTGCGCTCAGTCACTTGTCCTCTGTCTACTTCTGGAGAGAGTCGAATTTCAATTTTCAGGACAACTGGCAGGACAGTTGGCACGCCAATTGGCCAGAGCTGTTTACACGTAGCCCATAATTTTATACCAGTAAGCTGTTCTCTGTCAATTGTCTCCTCAACTAGCATCGTGTAAACGCGGCTTAAGAGAAAGAGTGTTAACTAGTAACAACTCCATTTCGTGAACAAAGCCCCAACAGATATCAAAACATGTTTGAAGACTGTGTGGAGGAGAGATATATACGTACATGTATTGATTAAAGTAGTTGTTTCGAGAAAGCTTTTTCTTTTAGTTTGTGTCTGAAAGTTACTTATTTGCATGATCTACACATCTTTGTATAGAGTTGATTATGGAATTGATTACTTTCTACCTTTCTTTGAAAGATTCCCACATTTTTTGGCATAAAGATGCAGAAGTCAAAACCTTTCTTTCCCAAAAAGTATTCTCTCCTAAAAATATACCTCTTTCAATTTGAAATTATTTACTAGTGACATTTCGGGAAAAAATAGCTCCTTCAATTAATAAAGTTTTTTATTGAAAAAATGTTGATCATTAAACCACCACATCACGATGGTGATGTGGTATTTGAATAGTTTTTTTACTATAGCACGGAATCTTAATCTGCCGTCAAAATACGTACCTAAGTTGTAACAAGTTTTTTTTTTCATTTCAGAACATCATCATTGGCATATGTGGAGGGATGGTTGCATGCATCGGAGTTTTGTCACCTAGAAGACAGGAAACTTTACTCTACTTGGCCGTTTCGGTTCTGAGTATTGCATGCGTGAATGTCATCCTAACGGAGTATCGAATTTATAAAACCGACATGCCGAAACTCCTGAAAAGTTATTCGAATCACATGCTCATCGATTACGGTAAGGCCAAATGCAAAGTCATCACGAAACATTCGAATTTTTTAACTTCATAAGAAGATTCCATAAATTTGATGATACGCGGGTAGTCTGAAATAGCTGCACTCGTAAATTAAAGCTAGTAAATTTCGTTGTTCATGTGTTGACACTCACTTATGTTGCAGCCATTTTGGACGCGCAGTTATTATGTAACAGTCGTTTGGGCAAGTTGATGTAAGTGTTTTTATGGAAATGGACAAAATGGAGAATCGAGCTATCATTGAATATTTGTTTTGATGTGCGTAGGCCCGGAAAATGAAGATAAGTTGTATTCTGTGTATAGGGACTCTGCACCATCATTTATAATAGTGAAATTTTGAGCAGCTGATTTAAGGTGGCCGTAAGAGCTTGTGAGACTGCAACTCTGCAACTACCGACGAAAACATCGCCAAAGTTCATCAAATCGTGCTAGATTAAAGTAAGAGAGATAGCAGAGGTTATGAACATGTCCAGAGAACGTGTTTGTCACATATCAAATTAATATTTAAACATGGGATGTCTGTCAACCCCAGCAAATAAACTGTAGTTGTTAAAAAATTCACCTGGAACGCTCACTTGAGAAAAGTTTTACACAAAGCCAGACTGTCCCTATGGACATGTCGAAGGATTTGTGACAAAACTTGGGGTTTAGGTCCTAAACAAATCCATTGGATTTATGTGATGATTGTTAGACCAATGATCACTTATGGTGCAATTGCCTGATGGTCGAAAGCTTTACAGAAAACGGTCCAGGCGAAGCTCTCTGACTTACAGAGACAGGCTTGTCTGGCTATCAGAGGTGCCATCAGTACCACGCCGTCAGCGGCCATAGATATCCTTCTAGATCTACCTCTTCTCCACATTTTTCTGAAGAGAGAGGCTAGATGTACATCATATAGACTTGTGAACATTGCCAATTGCACAAATCAATTTAATGCAGAGTGCAACAGACTGTTGGTTGACATTGGAAGTCACAGCATTCTGGAAATGGTCTCTGACTTTATGCCTCCAACTGTTAACTACGAACTGCCTTATAAAGTACTGTTCCCGAGTAGAGAGGAAATATTAAGAACAGATAGTTGTTGGTTCACAGATGGATCAAAAACTCCTTCTGGTTCTGGTGCAGGTGTTTTCAGTCGCAGACGCAGGAAGGAGATATTAACCTGCCTAGGAACTTATGCGACTGTATTTCAAGCGGAAATTTACGCTATTGAATTGTGTGCGGGGAGATTGGAAGAATTCAACCTCATACACAAGTCAATAAAAATATTTTCGGACAGTCTCTCTCGATAGAAAGACTTAACAGTGGACTTAATGGATTCCTGGCCATACTGGCCTGGAAGGCAATGAGACTGCTAACTCTCTTGTAAAGGAGGGTGCTGCAAGCAGTTTCATCGAACCAGAATCCGTCATTGCCATCGCTTCAGGGTTTGCCATACAAACACCTGGATGGCAAGAAGATTTATGGACTTCTGGCAGAATCTTCCACGATTGGCTCACTCCAAGGGTTCATTCACCCTTCGAAGCAGTTGTTGGACTACATTAGGGATGAACTACAATGTCTAACAGGCCTTCTTATAGGTAACTGTCATTTGAATCATTATATGACTCGAACTGTCGAAAGACAATGTGTATCGCCTCTATTTGGAAAATGACTGAAAAGCAGAGCACATACTTTGTGCCTGCCCCGCTGGAGACCGAATCAGGTTTTTAGAGTTCGGCAGAGCCGTACTCTTACCATCTAACCTGAAAGACCACTCACCAAACAAACTAGTCGGCTTCGTTAAGAAGCTGGATTTATTTGGTCGAGTGTGAATAGGTGTGAGCCACAATAAACCCTTGCAGGTTGCGGTGTAGGGTCGAATAAGGCCCACTCACTTTGGACCTAACGTAACCTAAGCAAGAGAAAGCTGCCCGCGCGTTGAGTGCCGCGTTTGCTCACGTTAGACCAGAAACGTGTTCAAATGAACATTCCCCAACGCTTTATTGGCGCAGTTCGGGCGCAATGAATCCGAGTTTTGGCGCCGATAAATTACTGTAGATGAAATTTGGATACACCATTACACGCCCGAAACAAAAATACAGTGCAAACAGTAGACTGCAAAGGGGAAACCGGCTCCAAAACAAAGCAAAAACTGTTTTTTCGGCTGGGAAAGTGATGGCGGCTGTTTTTTGGATAGTCATGGATTTATTTTAAATGATCGTCTTCAAAAAGGAAAAACATCACAGCAGCATGCTACGAATCATTATTTGACAAGCTGAAGGCAGAACTAGCGGAAAAACGGCCACATTGGCAGGAAAAGAAAATACTTTTCACACCGTCTCATACCTTAGCGGTTGCCTTGACGAAAATCCACGAATTACGGTTTGAACTGCTTGACCATCCGCCTTACTCACCAGATCTACCCCCAAGCGACTTCTCTTTGGTCGCCCATCTGAAAATTACGCTCGGAGGACAGAGATTTTCGTCAAATGAAGAGGCAATCGTCTTCGTGAAAAATTATTTTGCAGAGTAAAACGTCGAGTACTATTTGAATGGGTTATACAGATCGAAGCATTGCTGGGAGAAGTTTGAAGAGTTAAAAGGAATCTTGTATCTTTTTTAGATCGGAAAATTTTCAGACCACCTTCGTATGTATACTCAATATAGAATGGATTCAATTTTTTTCTGATATTTGTTAAAGTAATACCACAATTTTATCATGCTCGTTACTCACATGGTATTACTTAAAAATAGCAATACGTTTCTAATATGTCTGATGGTTTTTAAAATAGTAGTACTATCAACACAAAAAACACTACTTTTCGGACCGTGAAGAAGAATTAAATTAAATTCGAAACGTCAGCAAGAAAACAAATGTTTTTTAAAGAAAAAGTTGATCTTGTTGCCCAACTAACCCTTTTTCAGAAAAATTATTGGATCACTAAACTAGTAAACTAAAAGTAACAATTTTTGAGTTTGAAAAAATGGACATTTATCTAAGTAATAACATTTTCAGGTCAAATTATTATTGATATATAAATTGTTGGTGTTCAAGGTGGAGTTTGAATTGAAGGATTGTTATATTATTGTCATGCGGATATATGAATCAATAAAGTATCAGAAGAAATGTTGCCGCCGCGGCGGCAATTTAAATCTCACATTTCACTAGTTCGGACTTCCATTGTCTACTATATAAAATGATTTGAAATCCCTGAAACAAGTAAAAAAGAATAATTAAAAAAGAATAGTTGAAAAAAACAATTATATTAAGCAACAATAAACCTGAAATGAAATGATAAAACTATTCTTTTTTAATTATTCTTTTTTACTTGTTTCAGGGATTTCAAATCATTTTATATAGTAGACAATGGAAGTCCGAACTAGTGAAATTCATCACGAAACATTGTCAATCACCTTCAAACAAACGTTAAATCTCACATGCTTTGCGGAGTATTACTTTATAGTTCTAAAACGAAAAGAAATGTGAAATTTTTCATTGTAAGTTTTCATTTTGAGTGTACTTTTGCGATGAAATGAAACTTGATAGATTGAATTTGCTATATAAATATCAATTGTGATATTACAGTCTACCATAATTTTTCAATAGAATTTTACACTTCACTTATACACTTATACAGTGGAATTTTACCCTCCAACATAATTTCACACTGCAATTTTTCAGTAAGTAGGTACATTTTCTGAATAATTTTGGAGAAAATGATACCTTAATAGGAAATCGATTTTTGGATTTAGTCGAAAACCTTATATATTTCAGAGTCCATTTTTATCTAATAACTTTGATAATCAATTAGGAATGGAAGTGTACAAAATAGACAATTTTCATTTATTTTAGTTTCAATGAAAAATGTGTAAGAAGTAATACTGAAAAATGAAAACGTGAACTCTTCAAATCAACATTTCTTCATCGACATCTAATTTTTTTATTTCTTCCTCAAACATTGGTGGTGTTATCCTGTGAGTAAAATGAAAGGTCATTATATGAACAGTAAGTTCCAAAAACCTGTATTAATTTCTTTCTAATACATTTCACAATTCTGAATCGTCTAAACTCAAAAGAATTGAATAATAAGTCCACACCGTATACTTTCCGTTAGTAATGAATTGAAAAAAAATCCACAGAAATACGACAGACAAAATGATATTTTCCGTACTATAATCATTTTCTTCAAAGCAACCATGGGTCTACCTCTTTAAATGAAAAAATTGAATTTGCCCCTAGGACCCCAGTAAACTACTCTCTATAACACATCTCTCAAACTTGTGTGAGCTAAGAATTAACTGCGTCTAGGATGGGTCAAAAGTGAGTGGGCCTATTCGACCCTCCACCGCAACCCGCAAGAGTTTATCGTGGCTCACATCTATTCACACTCGGCCAAATAAACCCATCTTCTTGACGAAGCCGATTAGTTTATATGGTGAATGATCTTTCAAGTCAGATGGTAGCAGTGTGGTTCTACCAAACTCTGAAAACCTGATTTGGTCCGGAGCGGGGCAGGCACAAAGTATATGCTTTGCTGTTCCATCATTTTCCAAACAAAGGCATCACACACTGTCTTCCGACAGTCTGAGTCTCTGCATATGATGATTCAAATTACAGTGACCTGTAAGAAGGTCTGTTAGACATCGTAGTTCATCCCTACTGTACTCTAACAACTGTTTGGTATCAAGCTTCGAAGGGTGAATAAACGCCTTGGAGTGAGCCAATCCTGGAAGATTATGGCAAAAGTTCATAAATCTCATAAATCTTCTTTCCATCCAGGTGTTTAATCTTTGTTTGGCAAAGTCTGAAGCGATGTCAATATTCTGGTCCGATGAAGCTACTTGTAGCACCCTCCTTTGCAAGGGAGTCAGCAGCCTCATTGCCATCCAGCCCATTGTGGCCATGAATCCAGATCAGAGACAATTCGTTAAGTCTTTCTCGTATGGAGAGTCGTTTTTAGCAATTTGCTACCAATTTAGACGTTGCTCGGTAGAAGCAAAG